TAATAATGTTTTAATAATTTTTTTGCGTTAGTTCCCTACAATGAGCCTAGAGTACTTACAAGTGCCGTGAACAAGCCATATTTAAACGATACACGTCGCGCGAGGGTGGTGTTTATTTCAAGGTTACATTACTTAACCCAGTAACACCACTAACAGCAATTGCGCAAAATCGTTTTGTAAATATTATGTAAAACAGAAATTTCTTTAAAGTTCCAAGTCCCGCTCTTTTGATATAAATTCCTCAGAAAGGTACTGAGTTTCCTAGCCTTGTTAACCTTCTAGTTATTTTAGGAAGCCAACACCCTCTTAGTTTTAATTTTTTATATGGGGGCCCAAACTGGTCAAAATGAGGTTAATAATTATTTTCGTATTTTAAATAATTATATGTACTTGAAAAGATAATTTTTCGTGGTGGAAAATTTAATTATATGTAGTGTTCATTATAATTATTTTTATCTAATTGTTGTATTTATTTTTACGAGTGTGTCAATTATTTATTTCTCTTTGACAATTAATTAAGGCAAATCCCACAATGCAGTGCGCAGGATTAAAAGTCCCATCAGCCATTGCAAACCAGCTTATAGGCATTTCAAAATGGCGAACAGAAGGAGAGTGTTACGAGAGAGAAATGAAAGTGGATTTTCTAGTTTTCTGCAGAATTTAAAGGGGATATTGAAGATTTTTCTTAGCTCTGATATACAAATTACAAATGAAGAATTGGTTGAAGTTCGTCAGCAGTTGATTGAAGCTAATGGTACTTTGTCTTTGTTGCAACGTGACATCGAACGAGGCGACCCCAATCCCACAGGCCTTCCAGGAGAAACTCTGAAAGAACCGTTGACTAATTTAAGTAATGACATTGGGAGTATAGTTCTAATTCTTAGAGATGCGACAATGCAGTCGAATGAAAGTAACGAGGATAGTTATTCAGCCCCATTTGTTCCTCATGTTTCTGGACTCGGAAGGAAGAAATACGACATCACTAAAGAACAGCTTGAACACTTACGATCATTATTTTTTTCCTGGACACAGATAGCCAACATGCTTCAAGTTAGTATTTCTACAATTCAAAGAAGGCGCAGAGAGTTTGGACTTGGAGATGTATTTGAAGGATTTTCAAATATAACAGATGATGAGCTAGACCAAATATACTTAAGTATCACTGGCAACGCAAGTGAGGGCCCTGTTACTCCAAATATAGGCCGAAGGCGTTTTATTGGTGCACTACGAAGTAGAGGCCTACATGTCCAAAGGTGGCGAGTAACAGATTGCTTACACAGGTTAGACCCCGTAGGTACAAGTCTGAGATGGCGAATGACAATACATCGCAGAAAATACTGGGTACCAACTCCCAATAGTCTTTGGCACATTGACTCTGGTCATAAGCTTATTAGATATAAACTTGTAACTCATGTGTGTATAGATGGTAAAACAAGGCTGCTTATATATGTTTGCTGTTGCAATAACAATAAAGCAGACACAGTCTTGTCTTTGTTTGAAAAAGGGGTTGAACAATGGGGCCTTCCATCTCGTGTACGATCTGATTATGGAATGGAGAACTATTATGTTGGACAATACATGATTCAAAACCGAGGTGAAAGCAGAGGAAGTATAATAACAGGATCTTCAGTTCACAATTCAAGGGTGGAGAGAACTCATCGTGATATATATTCTGGGGTTCTGGCATTCTATTCAAGAATATTCGAAACAATGGAAGAAGAGGGACTTCTTAACATTCTTGATGATGTACATCTATTTTGTCTCCACTATGTATATCTAGCTAGAATAAATAAGTCATTGAAAGAATTTGTTGACCAAATGAACCACCATCCTGTTTCTACTGAGAAAAACCAGTCACCTTTACAGATGTGGGAGAGAGGGATGCTAGAAAATATGCATTCAGGGCACACAGCCTTATCACCTTCAGAGATTGATGAGTTTGGTTTGGATCCAGAAAATGGATATTTAGTGGAAGATGAAGACTATCAAGTGAATATTGTTCCGCCATCAGTAAATTTGTCAGATGGTCATCTTAATTGTTTGCCATGCCCATTGCAAGATGACAATAACTGTGGTATAGACATTTACAACCATTGTGTTCAGTTTGTCTATTCTTTAATGAGCTCTAGCCCATAGCATACATTATTATAACATGGTTTTGACTCCTCACTTAATTTCTGTGGTGCAATCTTTAATTTTGTATAGTAAAATATCATGAATAAGAACATGTATTTAAACAGGTTCTTATAAGAAAGACATGGACGACAAACAATACTTGAAATTTCATGCAACTTTTCTCCACCCACCCAGCAAACATTTATTTAGTTATTCAATATAGCTTTGGACAATGTGAGTTCAATGGCTGACTTCATAGCGTTAACCTACAGAGCAGATGTTCTTTTACTTAGATATTTTAGGTTTGGTGGTTTTTGGGCTTCTGTGGTAAAGTCATCTTTTTTTGTTACCACAGGAAGCCCAAAACCAAAAGTATATAGTCTCAATCAATATTTAAGTTTATGTGTAATCATTAGTCCCATTTGTGAAATGGTTACCTTATAGAAAGGCATTATCAATCTATTCTCATAATCCATTCCCATGGACAAAAAAGAGGCAAAAGCAATCTCAAACAAATTTTATTTCTCCACAAAATAAAGTTTCAATTTTTAATGCATTAAGAATTGAAACAAAATAAAGGTTGTTAAAATACAGTGGATGCCAACATCACTTGGGTAATAAAAACCCAAACCTTCCAAATATTTTACAAGTTAGAAAACTGGAAGACAAACGTAAAACTAAATGTTATATTTTGATACACATTTTTTAGCATCCACTCTACTTAACTTGACCAATTATTTGTAGCAAGTCTTATGCCAACAATAACAACATTGAACTGTAACAAACATGCCAAAAGAGCTGTGATGTAAGTGATAATCATACATTACTTGTTTTGTGTTAATTTTTGTTGTATAAACCTCTATGCTCTCTACACATCAATGACACAAAAGTTTATATGTAGATTATGTAAAGACACTCTATCATTATTGAGCCAAATATACTTCTAAAAAGTCATTGACAAAACAACCAAAATTACTAGGTTAACTATGAACTGCAACAATAATAAATATGTAAATATGTTACTATAACACCAACTGCAACAATAATAAACAGTCCTTGCAAACACACTGGTAGGCATTTGAGCACTACTGAAATAACAGGACATACTTACATACTACCGAAATATGATTGGGAGAATGCAAGGTCATAAATTTCAAATAACTTCTCCTGACTTGGCAAAGGGTTGACACTTGAAGCCACAGGAATACTCAAAATGTTACTGCACGTGTGGGCTGTTGGTGTAAATCCATCTCCAAGATCAGTCTTTACAAACTCTATTGATGGATCCAATGCAAACCCAAGAATAGGCTCTTCAGCTGAACCTGTTACAAAAGTCAAAATATGGCTCAGCTGAAGTTTTTCATTTCCACATGACCTAAGACCACTAGCAACTTCTCTAAGAAACCTCACAAAAAGTTGATAAAGTTCTTTCTCATGTTTCAGAGCATTGCTTCCTTGCTCACTGTATTTTGGCTTAAGCAATCCCAGCAACTTTGGCACAGTAATTGGGTGTTGACTGTTTGGTCTCAAGAGATAGTGGAGCATAGGCAGCTTCTGTAGTGCTGACAGCATGCCTAGCTTTTCTAGCCCAGCTTGCACTTCAGCAATGCAAGGATTACTGCTTTGTGGACTAGATGTTAAGACATCATTTAGTATTTCCTCTTCAATAAATGCAGGCATGGGACCATTTTGTAGCAGGGTTAAAGCCAACATGATTCCAACATTAAAATAATCTTTAGCAAGATATCGTCGTAGTCCTCGGTCAAAATACTTTTCCTTGATTTCTCTGCATACTATTCTTAACCATTCTCTCCTTGGTCCTCCAAGATCTACGACATCTTCACCAGTAAATCCCACCTTGAATGTAAACCTGTAATTCTCTATAAACTCTAGTTCACTGAAAGTTGAAATAAGAGCTGTGTCCCTGTTTACATTAATAAAGTTGGTCTCTCCATCAGTAGGTTCTTCTACAGAAACTATATCCAGCTTTCTACCTTGAATGATATGTTCTTGTAAAAACCTTAATACCTCTACTGGTTCCAACAGATCTTGATTCTTGGCTGAGTCGATGATTGAGTCTATGTTAAAAGGACATTCAACTGGATTTGCCTGATAAGTATGCACTGGAACAGCATCTTGCTCTTTTGAAGCATTACTGATTTCTGGTTTTTCATCAGTAAGATCCACCTCTGCAATGCTTGCATTAGCAGTAGATGTTGTTATGTTAGCAGCTGGTGATGCACTTGCTGTTATAGCGCTTGTAGATGTTGCAGAGGGGTTCAAAGATTGAGTGCTATTGAGACTTGTAATACTTCTAGTGGTTGGAGATTCAAATGAGGATAATGAAAGAAAGTCATCATCGTCGTCGCTTGGCAAATCAGCTAGCAAGCGAATGTATATACCTCCAGATGGAGCAATGGACTTCAATAGTAGTTTTGAGTCTATTCTCTTTCCAAGTGGAATGTTTGGCTTTACTAAAGTACCTGAACAGTTTTTCATTATTTCAAAAGAAAATCCGTCCATGCTTGAGCCTTTTAAAAGATAAGATAACTCTTTTTCCAGTTGAACAGCCGTCCACTCACGAGAGAGTTCAAATCCACAAATAATCCTTCCAGACTTTTCAAGCTCAACTTTTTCCGATTTGCTCGGAATTCTATCTTTTCCATACTCTATAACAATAACATCTTTAGTTACAGTAGATGAGCCGTGTGGTCGCCCAGGATTGCGATTGGAATATGGTGTAGATCGACTGCGAAAAGCACGTGCTCTGTTTGTGCCTGTGTTGATCGAGCTTGCTGCTGTCCGTCCTGAAGTTGTTGGAAATCTTCTTTGCAGCTCTGACAAAGCGTTAGACGTTGTAGCCCGTCCTTGGACGATATTTGCAATTTTTGTTATGTTTTCAATTGCAGATTCTGCGATTTTTTTTATCTCTTCGTCCTTCTTGTCCTTCCGACCCTCTTCCGCCATTTTGAAAAGGTGGTATGCAATGGCTGATGGGACTTTTAATCCTGCGCACTGCATTGTGGGATTTGCCTTAATTAATTGTCAAAGAGAAATAAATAATTGACACACTCGTAAAAATAAATACAACAATTAGATAAAAATAATTATAATGAACACTACATATAATTAAATTTTCCACCACGAAAAATTATCTTTTCAAGTACATATAATTATTTAAAATACGAAAATAATTATTAACCTCATTTTGACCAGTTTGGGCCCCCATATTTTCAGTTGATGTTAATTTAATCTTCTCAAGAATAAGGGTAAATAAAGTTGTTGTTGTTGTTGTTTTACGGTACTCATCACTTTGTTTTCTTCTCCTCAAATAAATACCGAATTGTTCAATGTGGTTGTGTATTCTCTATTTTGTGTTTGTCTGCTGAGTTTGTTCGGGGGCGGCGTTCAATGTTGGTAAAACGGTATTGGTTATGCTTTAAAAAAGATATTTCTGTTCCCGGCTTTAAAACAGCATTCATGAATGGATTCATTGGTGTCATGTGTTTTAGCCCAGGCCCAAGAACATCAGGACCAATTACGGCAAGAAAGGCCACGGTGCTTTCAGCTAGAGGTTTCAAGCTTGTTCTTTCGGTTTATGAAAAATGTGACTTCAATGATATATAGTTTAACATTTGTTTCGCATCTGCCAAACATATGATCATGGAACTGAATGGGATTTTCATCTGTTTAGCGCTGTTTCTTCGAGCCCCTTATGATAGGTCATGAAATGATAGCAACCCACCATAGTGGAGCGAAACGAAGGTAATGTTTTCCTTACACTGCGACTTTCATTACACAAGTTTAAATTTGAACGTGGTGCTGAAACTGCGTTTATGCGAAATTTGTGGCTGGGAATTGAAAACTCTGCGTCTTTCATGCAAATATAATCTTAAATGCCGTTTAATTGACGTTGGTTGAAACTAAAGAAAATAGCAAAAGGTTCCACTAGTTACACAGTATACAACCTAAAGAAATAACGAACAACAAGACGGAAAGACGACTATAAAATACATTGTTACAGCCACAGAAACATTGCTAAGTCTTGGCGTAAGTCTGGAACCGAAGCAGATAAACTGCAATATGTTGATCAGTGAGTCGAGTCCGTAAGCTCTTGAAATCTTCAAAGATGAACTACTACGCTTCGCTTATAAATGAAAATAAATCGGATCCTCAAGTCCTATTCAACACCATAGACCGTATGCAGCATCGTGAGCCTCAAAACCCCTATCCATCCTGCGGATCTCCAAAGGAAGTATGTGATAAGTTTGCCGACTTTTTCTGTGACAAAATTGTGACAATCAGGCATCAACTGGATACGCTATCTATTACTGATGCTCCTGCTTTTCCATTGTTTGACGACGCCATAATTACATGTGAACTAAGCGAATTTTCTCTCACCACAGAGGATGAGCTTTCTGGTCTCGTGAAAAAAATTGCCGCCAAATCGTGTTCTCTTGATCCTGTACCGGCTTCTCTTTTATGTTACTGTATTGAAGATCTACTACCTATTATTAAAAATGTCGTAAACCTTTCATTTAATTCAGCTTCAATGCCAAGTTCCATAAAAAATGCAATGTTGTCTCCTGTGCTGAAGAAACTGTCCCTAGACTTCGAACTCTTTTCTAACTTTCGACCTGTATCATCTAACCTGAAGTTTTTGTCTAAGGTTATTGAAAAAGTTGCAGCCAGACGTCTGACGAATTATCTGTCTGACAATGATCTGAATGAAAGTCTCCAGTCTGCTTACAAGAAACATCATAGTTGTGAAACAGCGCTTCTACGTGTTAGAAATGATATTCTGAAATCAATCGATGATAAACAATGTGTTGTTCTCTTGCTGTTAGATCTATCAGCAGCCTTCGACACTGTCGACCATAAGATCCTATTACACAGATTGCGTTCCAGGTTTGGTATAAATTGTAAAGCACTTTCGTGGCTTCAGTCTTATCTTACGGATCGTTCCCAGTTTGTTCAGATCGATGGATTTACTTCCCCAATTCGTCCGCTCAGATTTGGCCTGCCGCAAGGGTCCGTGTTGGGCTCGTTGCTGTATCTCTTGTTTACGGCCCCACTAGGTGACCTAATAAGATGCCATAACATATATGCTGACGACACTCAACTATACACCACCTTCAGTTGCGATGATATGAATGACCTTACCACTACAATTTCCCGGATTGAAAGCTGTCTTGTTGATATCACCAACTGGATGATACTACTAACAAACTGAAGCTAAATACTGATAAAACCGAACTTCTTATTCTCCATTCTAAGTTCAGACCGCCCAAACGGCTACCTTCTATTAAAATAGGAACTGATATCATCGAGCCTACAAATAAGGCGCGTAATATCGGCGCCATTTTTAATAACACCGTAATGATGTCTTTTCATATTCAAAACATAGTTAAAGGGGCATTCCACCACCTCAGAAATATAGCTAAGATTCGTAAATATATCAATGTCACAACAGCTAAAGTTCTTGTACACGCATTTCTAAATTCGAAGCTGGATCTATGCAACTCACTCTTGTATGGTCTTCCCAAGTATGAAATTAACAAACTGCAATGTGTCCAAAATGCTGCAGCACGTGTGATTGCTTGCTTAAGTAAGTTTGATCACATAAGCGATACTCCAAAGGAGCTGCACTGGCTACCGGTGGAGCAAAGAATAATCTTTAAGATCAATCTTATTTGTTTTAAGATACTCAACAATTTAGCTCCTGATTATTTGGTTGACCTAATTCATGTTTATGAACCTACGAGGTACCTTCGCTCATCTTCAGACAAGTGGCGTCTTATCATCAAACCCTGTAACTTAAAGACATATGGTTTAAGGGCTTTCTCAGTTATTGCCCCTATACTTTGGGACGATTTACCTATTGACATTAGATCAATCGACGATGTAAACAAGTTCAAATCTAGAATAAAGACCTTTCTTTTTAAGCAAGTTTATGAACTATCCTAGGTTTTCCATTTTGTAATTTTGTTATTATGTATATATATATATGTATACGATTTTAGTCCTTTTTGAAGCATTGTAAAGCGCTTAGCACGGAAAAGGATAGGCGCTATATAAATATTATTATTATTATTATTATTATTATTATGCTAAACTGCGCTTAGCGAAAACGAGACAAGGAGGAAATGAAGGAAAGGTGAAGAAGAGTATTTTTCCCGAAACTTCGTGTACATATTAAGGACAAGAACAAATCGCCACATGGTAAGTTTCGTTTATTTTTATTTCCATTTTCAAGCAAATTTCCAGACCTAAACTTCGCCCCATATGTTCTCTCTATTTAACCATGTGCACGTGACACAAACAGCGAGCCTGGATTACTTATGGTAGACAGCCAAAATTGGTCTGAGGCAAATCTTCCAGTGGTCGATTTTCGTTCTCAACCGCGAGAAATCCAATTGCTAAAGCCACTGAATACGAGTGCGTAACTTACGGTATTTTTTTTCTTGTTCTGGTTTTCTTACCGTTCACGGAAAAAATGACGTCACTGTAAGCAATACGAGTTTTTTCAGTGTTTTAGCAGCTATAATTTGAGAAAATTTCGACAAACGACCTTGGATTGAGAAAGACAGAGTGGCGCGAAAGGCGGGTGACGTGTCAGCAGCTGATTGGCGATATTACCTACATACATACATATATACATACATACATACATACATACGTTAGTTGACCACTCCCCATGGGGGCTTTTCAGGGCCAATTCCCACCCATCCCACCCCAGGGGAGGACATCCACCACACAGTAATCTCGTGCGTGGGAAATTAACGTCTCCTACCGCTAACCCTGCAGGAGACGGGACCTACGGTTTATTCCTCCTTATTCGAAAAGACTAGAATATCTTTCCATTTATTATAGAAAGGTAGCAAATTCTCCTCACTTATTTTAAGACTATGAGTATCGGTCCAGCCGGTGGTATACAAGGATTTCCAGTCCTGAGGAAAAGAAACACGTAAAAAAATACGACAGTTTTTGATTAAGTGTAGTTTTCTATTCTTCGCCAAAATTTTTGCTGATGAGATCCAAATTCTCCTTATGTTTATAGATGACATGGGATCTAATGTTTATAGATGACATGGGATCTAATGTTGTCCATTCATATCTCATTTGTGTCATCTGTGAACCCCCGTGGAGACAATATTCACCACATACAGACTGGCCGAGTGAAGTCTTTGGTAGCCAAGAAAACAGTTACCTGGGTTATTTTTGAAGTTTGCTTCTGAATCAATCGGCTGCTGTTTCCAGTCCTTATACAAACAGAAGTGACTTTGCATCTGATGATCAGCCTTGATCAGTTTACTAAAAACAGAACCGCCATGGAGAGAATTTTCACATACATAGCTGCGTTGTTTACTCGTCTGCTGTTCTGCCTCCATGCCATTGCCATGATTTACTGGCTGGTCACCTTGAAGCAAGACAAAATGTACTTTCTGTTTTTACTTCTTCTCGTGGCTCTCTTAGTGGAAACAATAATCACTGTGGGATTTCGCAAGGGACATGAATATAGCTGGTAAGTAAAAGAAAACTTTCACGAGCATTAGTCAGCGTAGTACATTATACATGTCAGCAGCACCACTGGCACACGGCCTAACGAATTTGGGGATCTCTTTGCTTCGCTGCATTTATTTTCTTTGCTTGAACATATTACCAAAACGAAACTATGAGGCAAAAAGCGCGAAAATTATCATTGTTCTTTGCAAAGGACATATTTAATGAAGTGTGATTGCTTTGCTTTATCCCAATGCAGACTCGGGAATTCGAGTTTCCGGTTTTTATCTTGGTGGCTTATATTTCAACATTTCTAGTCAGTTGTGCTAAACATTCATGAAAACTGAAAATCCGCCTTCTTATTAAAAAGTGGCATAATCAAACATGCTGAGCTTCGTTTACATTTTTATCAAAACGATTCAGAGTCGATGAAATGCCATGTAATCGAAAGCAATAAGTGATTACTTAAAATTACCTAGTATGTTCTTATTAGAAAAGCTACAACTTTCTTGAGCTGTCAGACTGCGATCGGTTTTTCTTACAAACGAAACAAATCTCCACAGAGTGACCTTACAGGAAGTTTGCGAACAACTTGAAGTTTTTATGCGAACCTGTCTCGATCTCCTTTATGAATAAAAAGCTTAAATAAACAGATACTACACCATCACAGAGTAAATTACAAATCATCAAAATTCATTGTTCGGTGACTTAGCAACAGGATGAACTGCAACGGCTAGATATGTTTATGGCTACTGATGAGTAAGTTCCGTATCTTTTTCGGATTTGAAAAAAGACAGATTTTACATAGCCTTTGAGTTTAATAGTTTTGAGAAACATGCTTAAAAAATATTTATCTTTAGGCGGCTTTGTGAGGTTGACTGGTGTAAAAGGCGTCACTGCGTAAAATCAGTCTATTTGCGGCTGTTTCTAAATATCCCGCAGCTGGGCACGATAATGGACTAATTCCTTGTAGTCAAAAATTTTCACAGAATTTCCGCACAAATGTTTTTTCAAACTTCTTAAGAGCATCAGATTTTTGTTTAGAGAGGTTAAGCGTTTCAAAATTTATTTCAGTTTTTCATTAAACGCTGGGACAGAAAGGTTTCAAGGTGTCGAAAACAAATAGGGACGTTACATTATACACAGGCACGGAACTATTTGAGAAGAAAACCAAAGTAATTTTTGGAATCGCTTGACATTTCTAAATAAACATCTGATACTCTTGAAGATTTTGAATTAATCGCTCGGGGCAAATTCAGTGCAAATTTCTTACTGCCTGGTTTTACTCCGTTTAAGACCGTCTCCGGCTGCCGGGCATTTAAACACTAAATTAGTTGAAGTCATTGTTTGGGTATTCATCTCGGATTCGTAAATTCAGTCAGGTTACGAGTAAAAACAGCGATATCAAGAATGTTTAAGATCAATCAGAGAAACAGCAAATATTTAATACTCTAGATGTCTCTATAAGCTAAGAGAGAGTACTACCGCTAAATTTCATTAAAGCCGCCGCAAATTGTTAAATCGTAATTCAAAAGTTGAGTACCGAAAAGCTGCTGTAATTTCAATTACCTCCATCCTCGGAGACCCAGGGGCAGTGGGTCGATTTCAAGTTAGGGCATGAAGAGCTCTTCCTGCCCTAACTTGAAATCGACTCAGCCCCTGGGTCTCCGAGGATGAATTACCTCTAGATCTCTAACACAAGTTTATGCAAATTTCCGGCTCAGAGTAATGTACACACAATAAAGCTGGTCCATCAGAGGGTATGGAGCAGGTGGCTACATGGTTCCATAGAAACTGAGAAGCCAAGTCTGTGAATCAAGTATTCTTCCTAAAAAAAGTTTGGAGAAAATCAATGAACATCATATTTACTTTTCTCCACCATTTCGAGTCATGATGATATCACCGAATTCCACGTGTGCTGCGAAACGAGAAAAAAATGAAATCAGTCAACTTGCACTTTTTACCGCAGTGCATCCTTTAAAAAATAATATTCAGAACTTCAATGGCATATCATTTTGGTTGTAAATATTATTAAAAATTTTAATTATGAAGAAAGGGAGGGCTGCAAGTGCGGGGATTGTGTTCTGTCAAACAAAAGCACGCAAGATAACAAGAAAGGAAACAAAAATAACTGAAACTGAGTGGTCTTTTATTGTTTGCTCTGAAAGGCTTCCATTCCAGATACCCCATTTCAGTCGTAATTCTGGCTTACGTTGGTTTTGAAGATAAGGACCTTTCACATAAAATACTTTCATCGTGTATATTGACGTGGGCTTTTGCTTTACAGATATTTGTCCTAGATTGTTTCATGAATTATCTCTCTTAGTCTTCATCATTTTTTTGATAATCAGTCGATATACACTATTCGTATAATTTCAGAGCTGAGCAAAGAGTTTCCAGCAATCTGATTGGTCGAACGATTCCTTATATGACGCTATATAAACCGTTCCACGCGGTTTATATAAAATGTTAAAATAAATGTTAATAAATGTTACTAAAATGTTATGATTTTAGAAATTTCTCTGTTGTTCAGCTCTGAAATTATACTAAAACAATTATTCGCCTCATTAACAATTATTCGCCTTCGGCGAATAATTGTTAATGAGGCGAATAATTGTGCATGAGGCGAATAATTGTTAACTATTTTAGTCATTCTATTCAGCTGTTAGCGATACTATTAATATTTCGTGCGAAAATCTCGAAAAAAGTACTCTTTTAAAACATACGTCTTTTTAAAACGGTCAGGGTATTAAATTTTTCTTATGATTGTTTCTGTCGTGGGACATCGAGATGTTCTGGAAATTCGGGACCGCATGCAGACGATCTGAGTTACCTTCTTTCTTCTCTCAGTCCTCCATGTGTTCCTTTCAAAGGAAACGCTTACTATGCAGGGAATATATATATGACTTCTATGAATGGCGTTGCAAAGTCCTCGGGATTTCATCAGTTCCCCAAGTACCTACATGTAGGTTGATTTGATTTTGCGAGTTATGTTGGAATGCATTACTCAGCTGTTACGTTTGCTTCCTCACATGAGCCTATAAGTCTTCACAAGTTCACTTTATCTAGTTGGTACTTGACTGACATAGTCGTTCAATTTATTTCTGACATGGGAACCATGGAAACACAATAAGGGATGGGTCGCACTTGGGCAAAGTTGTCAACTTTGCTGGCAAAAAAAACACAGAAAATTTGAAACCGCAACCGAAAGGCAAACTTTTGGTTTCAACTATCAGGGTCGCACTAGGTGAAAAAAATGTCAGTGATGACACTTTGATAAATCAGACACACGTTTATCGACTTTTTATGGGGAGAGAGCAGTGAGCTGAAAAAGGAAAACAAACGTTAAAAAAAATGCGTCCCGTTGAAGCAGTGTTAATAGGGACCTTTACCATCGCGTTTACTGCAAACGGCAAACGGCTGCTAGCCGTTTGAGGTTTCCCGTTTGCCGTCGTCACCAAAATTGAATTTAGCATGGCGTTGATGTATTTTGGCGGGAAAAGCCCACCTTTTTAGAGCCTTTTTATCTTCTTCAAGGTATTTTGAGATAAGGCCACTCATCCTTTCTCTACAAGCTCGCCCTGAGAGCACGACGGGTTTTTTGTCTTCCGAAAAGATAGGGGAAAGTACCCTCGGAATTTCCTTTAATCAGCGGGACATTTTGGCCTTCGCTGGGCCACTTCGGTCGCCAGCATCACCTCTTGGCAAGTGTTTGGCTATCTAATT